TGAACTCCCCCCCCACCCACCCCTTTTTTTTTACCCTGCACGAAAGAACTATTATAGTGCCAATGCGCTTACCTCAACTTCAACAAACAAACTCACTCCAATAAGAAAAGCCAACAGAATATCACGGTACGTCCCTATTACACCGAGCAGTTTTGATTGACAGAGATTGCATACATCAGTCTTTATTTTGTACCTGATAGCTCTTAAACTTTTCAAAGCTGAATATAGATGTTTGTGGTGTACCGGTTAAGCGCTTTGTCATCGTACGCAGTAGACCTGAGATCGATTCCCGTGTGGGGACATTAAAAAAAATTATTTTGAGTATCTTGGTCCTTCTGATGAGATATTGTATCCCCCTCTGTCCAGATTGGCCGTGGCAGGTAAGTCGAAGCCCGTGACCTTAGTGGTCCCAATTTTGTCGATTGTCTGTGGTGGAAGAGGGGGGGGGGGTGAAAAACAGTTATTCATTTTTTTAAAAATATACTTCTTTCAACCCCGCATCAATGGTGTTACATGCAGTGCACACTGACAGCTAAAAGAGTACGTTATTCATAAGGGGGAAATATACAATAGATCCTGTTCAAGGTGACCTTTAAAAAGACATGTTTGTCCCTTACCCATTTCTATGATATTAACGTCATCTGATTAGTATAGTGTCCAAAAGTGTATTGCGTACATAATTGTTATAATATATAATGTAACTGTTACAGAGAGATGTTCAAGATAATTAATATTGAGGTATGTCAAGGATCTGAGAGCAGACGACCATTTACTATCGAGTTGAAAAGTGGTCGTGTTGTACAGGTGGTCCTCATGAACAGTGTCATTATAATATTATAAGGAAAAAAAAACGAAAGAGGGAAGGGTGGGGGTGAAGGAAGTGATCATTTGTACAGGGGATTGTCTCAGAATGAAAAGGTAGTCGGTCGTTACAACAGGCTCAGTTGTGTGTGCCGTTAAGATCAATAAGGTTATCAATAAGGTTATCGCATTTATCTGCTTGGTTCAGAGGTCAGGGCTCTTCTAGATCAGAGACGTTCAGTGAACATTGGAATGACTGTTATCACTGACAGCATCCTTGATAAGTCAGTCGTTATCTAAGATTTTTTGAATGCCGTTGGACCAGGTGGGAAGGGAAATCAGGCGCTCGTCAAAATCATCAGATTATAGAAACCGGCATTTTCCACCCGTTATGCAATTTCTATTTATCTATACTATATGTGTATCTATTTATTCATGAATTCATTTGTTTTATTGTATTGTTGTTTTTATTTAATTCTACTTTTTTTTTTATGTTTT